AAAATTTTATTGGTCTTTTGGCTAGAATTTATTTGCCAGGAAGGATGATCTCATCATACTTCTGCTGGAACCAGCACATGAACTCCTCTTTGCTGATTCTGTCTTTGGCCCCTATGCTGCCTGTCCTGCGCTTCTTGTCTGCGATGCTGAAACCTGTCCTACCTAGCACCACATAGAAGACCAGGCCGCAGATACCAATGCTTGGGTCATATTCGATGCGCAGATCAATATGTTCCTAGATTCCAAAACCAAAGTTTCCAGTATCGGAGAAGTTATTTTTTCTTAACTCATATTCCTGACCTCCAGACCTTTCTCCAGGATTTCTTCTGCCTTGGATCCATGGAATGTACAGTGAACTGAAATCTTTTCATTTCTCCTAATACCAAAGGACCTGACAGTGTATCCAGCTTTGGAAAACACAGGTGCCTGGCCTGTGAGCTGCTCCAACACCTTGGCTGCCTGGGTCAGTCTCTACTTTCCCCCACACAGATGTTGAGGCAGAGCTTGCAGATGCGAAGTTCCCTCATGGGATTCTCCTTTTCACCTTGATTCTGCACCATGATGGAGAGCAGGAAGAAAGAATGTAACCCTAGGTCTTAATTTGCTTCTATCTGTGTGGAAATACTGCCTTTCAAGTTGGGACAAGAGCAGCCAGGTTTGCAGTGCTCCCAGTGCCACAGCACCCAAGGCAAAGCCCCATTCCATAAGTGAGGAATGGTTGGGAGAAAGCTCTCTCACCTCTCAGCTGCCCCACAGTACTTAGCCTTAAGTGGCAGGGCAGAATGTGGGATGCTAACGAACTGCTCTCCGAGGAAAGCCCTCTCCTCTGATAGCTCTCTTGCCCAGAAGAGCACTCCTGTGTTTGTGGCTACAACAGTCTGGAATGAGTTTCCAGCTAATGAAGCTGAGATGGGCAGGCAGGGATCAGTCTTAGCTCAAGTGCTCCAGTCTCAAGCATTTCTGACCAGATTTTAGCAGCTTTTCTTGAACAGATGTTTCTAAATTTTCCGTATTATCTAAGACTCATTTCTAGGGATTTTAAATGATGTTCTTAAATTCTTTTCTTACCAGTTTCAGTGGCAACGAATCCATTGGGGTTCTTTATGTTGCCAAGGATATTAAGTGTGATTACTCTTACTGAGTAAAACTCCATGGTGTGAATACACCACAATTCACCCATTCTTACTAATGGACACATGGGCTGTTTCCATCTTTGTTTGCCAACTCAACACTGCTGTCGTAAACATTCTTTTGCATATATCCTAGGACATACCAGCAAGTGTTCCTGTTGGGTATAAAGTATACATGTATAGGAATGGAAATATATAATGTTTAACTTTGCAAGGTAGTTACACATTGTTTTGCAAAGTGAGAGTACATAATAAAGTCTTTGCTGATCTACATGCCTGGTAAGCTACATTCTCTTCAACCTTTGCTGTCAGACTTAACTGTTGCCAATCTAATAGGTATAAAATGATCTTATACTAGTTACATACAAGGGAAAATATGCTCATGCTCATTTTTTTTTTGTTTCCTCCTCTGTGAACGTCTACTTCTACCCATTTTTATGAATTGTAAAGGGAGAGGGTAGGATGCAGGGATACAGCAATGTGGGGATGCAGTGATGCTGGAAGGGAAAGAGAGGCAATTCCCTTCTCCCTTATTTGGCTTTTTGTGGCAATTCTGGGATGGAACCTAGGGCCTCACACATCCTAGGCAAGCACACTACCACTGAGTTGCACCCACTGCCCTTAGGAGAGTTCTTTAGTTGAATCTATGAACAAAATTAATATGAATCAATTAAAGAAAGCCTTTGTTTTATTAAATTCACATGTATGTGGAGAACCTCATAAAAAAATGAAGTCTGAAGAAGTGACCAAAGCAAGATGCTTTTATACTTTTTAGAGGAAGAAAAACAAAGGCTTGAGATCCTGAGGTTCATTTGTCCTCTTGGACCAAGGCAAATTCTAGGGACGTCATTAAGAGATATATAGGGAGGGGGTGCGTAGAAGCTAATGGAAACTAAGGGTCACTTCAAAGTGTTTGTTAATTGGGACTGCAATGAATTACTCTAGTGACCAGTCTGGTGATCAAGGCTCTTTTTCTGGTCTTGGTTTGTGAAGGATGCCCCTCCTAAGAGGACCTTTATGGCTTGCTGTGTGTAGGAAAAGAGGCCAAATGGGCCTTTCTGAAGTTTCTTCAGTGATATCACTTTGAAATAATCACTGTGACACTTGGCATATCCGGAAACGGACTGCCCTTAATTCCTTCATGAGCGTATCCTTTTCTGTATTATAGTTTCATATGTATATACTGTTTTACCAATATTATGCGTTTTAAAGTAAGCCAATTTTTGGCTTGGCTTTTCAATTTCTCTATGGAAGATTTTGGTAAGGTTCTAATTTTAACATGGCTAAATCTTACTCTTTTAGGTTAGTACTTTTTGTCCTGAAAATGTTTCTCACCTGGCAAGGTAGCATACACATGTAATCTCGGCACTTGGGAGGCAGAGGCAGGCAGGTCAATATGAGTTTGAGGCCAGCTTGGTCTACATAGTGAGTTCAGGACAGCCAGGAAAAAAGGAAAGAAAGAAAGGAAGAAAAGACATGTTTCTCTATACCAAGGATGACAAATCCTACTGGTAACAAATTCCTCAGTGCTTGCTCACCTGAGAAAGCCTTTATTTCTCCTTTTGAAGGACAATTCACTGAATATTCTAGGTTGGTGATTTTTTCTTTCAAGTTTTGAAATATCTGACCTACCTTCTTGCTTACATGATGAAGAGGTATGATAAACTTGAGGCTCTTCTGCAGGGGGTGTTTATTCCCTCTGGCTTCTTTCAAGACTTTCCCTTTTCCTTTAATTTTCTGCAGTTTAACTGTGATATACCCATTTTGATGTTTATTTGTATAAGTGAATGAGATTGGTCCTCAGAGTTTTGTTTTTGTTTCTTAATTAGACACTCTATTGAGGCTGGAGTGATGGTTCAGTGGTTAGGAACATGTAGAGGACCAGAGTTTGGTTGGCTGAACTACCTGGAACTCCAGCTCCAGGGGATCGAGTGTCTCTGGCCTCTGCAGGCACCCAAACAGACCCATATACATAATTAAAATAAAATAAAGCCTTTAATCCCAGCACTTGGGAGGCAGAGGCAGGCAGATCTCTGTGAGTTCAAGGCCAGACTGGTCTATGTAGTGATTTCCAGGCCAGCTGGGGCTACAGGGAGAGCCTGTCTGCAAAAAAAAAAAAAAAAAAAAAAAAAAAAATATTACTTTGGGCTTGGGGGCAGAGCAAACAGAAACCCAGGCAGATCTCTGTGAGTTCAAGGCCAGACTGGTCTATGTAGTGATTTCCAGGCCAGCTGGGGCTACAGGGAGAGCCTGTCTGAAAAAAAAAAAAAAAGAAATAAAAAATATATTACTGTGTGTCTGTGTGTCAGTGCTACAGTACACATGTGGAAGTCAGAGGATAACTTTGTAGACAGAGTCAGTTCTCTCCTTCCACCTTTATGAAGCTTCCGGGGATCAAAGAACTCAGGTCACCAGGCTTGTGTGGCAAGCACCTTTACTTGCTAAGCTGCATCACCTGTCCCTTTTAGGAGTTATCTCTCAAGCTATTCCATACTCAGATTCTAGCAGCTAATCAGTTATTCTTTAAATATTTTACACAAGATCCTGGTGGATTCTAGGTGGCTTCCGATCCAGGCAAGCTCTGACCCTCTGGACTTGCTTGTCTTCAGTTTTCAGGAAAGGGTATTCTATGACCTCAGTTCTGACTGTGACCCCTGATGGATCTGGGTGGCCCACTTTACATTTTTCATCTTTTGTTCTTTTCTTTTCCTACTGTGAGGGCAGGAGTGATAGTGTCCAGGTCCTGGACATGTCAGAGTTTAAACTATTTTTTAAGTAGGTCAATATTTTTAAAAGTTTTTGACACAAACTGTTAAATTTCCTTCCAAGGAGCTATATTAAAATAATCTAAATGTACTTTTACCACCTATTGTTCTTAAATCATCATTGTTCCCACATTAATTGAAGCTAGAAGCCAACCCATCCCTTCCCAGTACACATTCCTTGGCTGGGTGGGTAGGTCCCTGAAATCTTATAATCTGGCCCTGATCTGCTTCTCAATATAATCTCCAAGAACTGCTCCTGTGGTCCTTGGTTTCCAGTGACTGGTGAGCTTCCTGTCCCTTGGTTATACTTTGTGTATTCATTTGTACTGTTCATTCCTCATGCCTTTCCAAGCCCTCTCAGCTTTCCCAGTTCAATCACTCTGCTCTGTCTTCAGCATTCAGCTGCTGCACACTCCCCAGTTCTAGGATGAACTGTGGCTTTGGGGAGTTTAGGAGAACAAGATGTTGTAGAGAGCTGACTGCAGTGTGCACACAGTCCATTTGTGGCAAAGTGAGAGGGCCAGCTTAGGTGACAAAAGCAAACCTCTGACAGCACTCGTAATAACAGAGTTTACTATTTATGAAATAATTATAGTTGTATACTTTGGTTTTTCATTATATTTTTTTTTCTTCAGGATTTCTTTTTTACTTATGGCATGACTGTGAAATGGCTCTCCTTAATAATCTATTTTTTTCTACCAATTTAAAACATGAACTCTATTAAAAACCAATTTAGTGACATTGTTTTTTCATGTCTTTTAGAAAAATCTATACAAAAAACAACTCCTTTAAAGACAGACACATATGAAAGCTTGAAGTTGCCACATCATAACAAGCAAGTGCATGGTACAAGAACAGTGATATCAGTGCAGAGAAGTTATCACCAGCTCTGAAAACTGGCTTTCAGCCCTGATGTTTAGTTTAAGCTTAAGAAAAACATTCACACTGGGTGTAGTGGTACACACTTTTAAACTCAGCACTCGGGAGGCAGACACAGGTAGATCTCTGTGAGTCTGAGACTAGCTTGGTCTACATCACCAATTCCAGGCCAGCTAGGGCTACATAGTGAGACATGGTCTCTAAAAATAACAACAAAACTACTCACGTTCTATTTGCTCAAACATCACTGAAAAGAGAAAGTCTCGGGGTGTCATATAATATTCTCCATTATGTTCCAGTGAAGAAAACTGCATAAACCGCTGTTTACGAAGAGACAGTTTCTCTATGGGTCCACAGTCATTTTTCTATAAAAGAAAAAGAAATTATTATGATTTAACCTTTCTTTCAGTTTGATTTCCAAACTCAGATACTTCTAGAATAATTTTAAAAAATTTTATTTATACGTGTGTGTGTGTGTGCCTGCTTATCTGTATACGCACCACTTGCCTACAATGCCTGTAGAATTCAGAAGAGGGCATTGGATCCCCTGGAACTGCAGTTACAGGCAGCTGAGAGTCATCATGTGAGTGCTGGGAACTGACCCTGAGTCCTTGGCAAGAGCAGCAAGTGCTCTTAACCGCTGAGCCATCTCTCTAGCCCCTAAGATGATCTTTAAAGAGTAATTTAGGTTTGACAATCTCCAAAGTTTAAATTATTCACTTAACAAACATTAATCAAGTCCCTAGTTTTCAAGGAACTGAAGTTATAACACTGAATAAGACTAATTGAGCCAGGCGTGGTGGTGCACACCTTTAATCCCAGCACTTGAGAGGAAGAGGCAGGCGGATCTCTGTGACTTCAAGGCCAACCTGGATTATTTAGCAAGTTCCAGGCCAGCTGGGGCTACAGGGAGACCCTGTCTCAAAAAGACCAAAACAAAACAAAACAAAATTGAAGGGAAATTATATTCCAGTGGGAGAATGACATTAACAAATAAATGTGTAAAATGACATAAGCTAGCAAGAACTGCCACAGAAGCAAAAAAGGAGAAAAGAGTAGTGATGACAATACTTTAGACAAGCAGGGGAAGTCTTCTGAAGGGCAGCACTTAGAGACTAAAGGGTAGGGGTTGGGAGTTGTTCGCCTGAGGAAGAACATTTCTAAGCAAAAGTCCAAGGGTAGGAATGAACCTGGTGCCTTGGGAAGAAGAGGAGGGCCACTGTCAGCAGAGTGACTGGGGAGAGAGGAGAATGATGGACAATCCCAGACTGGCAGGCAGCAGATCATGTGTAGTTGTGCTTTCACACACAACTCTGCATCCAGACTATAACAGCAACTACGAATAAGAAAGTGCAAAGGGACTCAGATTGGTGAAATACTGTTAGTGCAAGAGTCTATCTCAGGCCACTGGGCCTGGATCTTGACCAACTGCTCAAAGAGACAGCATGGAAATCTCTACTAACCTTTTACTCCTTTTACTAAGCCCTTACTCATCCTACACTGACTAATCCAGCGCACTACAGAGAATTTCGTTGATCACAGTAACTCAGATACTAAGTAGATATGGAAACTTACGTAGTGGATGTAGCAGAGTCAGACTAAAAAACCACATCTGCTCCAGTCCATGGAGTTCAGTCTCTCAATTCCCATACTATCCTCCTACACACTGAATGGGCCTTGTGCCTGGACAGACTGGAAGATGACCTAGCAGTTGACACCGACACTGGTGCCAGTGCGGAACCCTGATAAGAACGCACTGCTGGGGTACTACAACGGAGGGCTTTCCCAGGCACCACTCTCATTCTACTGTGTATCCGTCCAAGACTTATCACCTACTTCTTATATTTAGAACTAACTCCAGGATTTACCCTAACACCTGGCACATACATACATAGTATTTATCAGCAAAATATTAGTATTTATACATAGCAATAGATATGTCATTTTAACAAATTGTTATTGAGCATCTATAGAAAAACAATGGAAAGCCAGACAAATGTTAATTTATTTTTTTTTTTGTTTTTTGAGACAGAGTTTCTCCGTAGCTCCACCTGGGGCCTAGAACTTGCTAAGTAGACCAGGAGAGTCTTGAACTCAGAGATCCACCTGCCTCTGCTGCTGGAGTGCTGGGATTAAAGGCATACGCTACAACAGCCAGTTGGATAAATGTTAATTTCTATAAGGAAGCACTTAAGTGCTGTGACAGTGAATTTATAAAAATTCACCAGGAAAGGGAAGGTGGTTTGGGGCACAGTGGGCAAAGGTAACAGCATTTGCAAGCTGTAGGCATTAGAACTGGAAGAACTTGAACATGAGTATGCAGTTACTGTCTAGGAACATTTTTGTATTTTTCATAAATGTTAATTTTTAGTCTATTAACAGATAAAATTAATAGAGGGAGAAAAAGCATACTCTCAAATCTTGAAATAAATATTGGTACTTTTGTAATTTCTAATATCAAAGTTGCTTACAACCGTTAAAAATTCCTTTTTTGCTACAACTTATTTCTTTTTGTATAAATTCTTTCCACACCTTAACTACCTGCACAGCCCAATTCTTATTTATTCCTCTTGTCTATTGGTCTCATAACAAGACGGACCATTAACTCTATGTGTGCTTTGGTTTTCAAGTGGTCCTCTAACCTTGCAGAAAGCTTATTCTTTCCTGGATTTAACAGGATATCCAACATGCCAGGAAGTAAACACACAAACCTCCCACTCATTTACAGCAAGATGTAGAAACTATTTTTTTGTTTGTTTTTTGAGGCAGGGTCTCCCTGTAGTCCCATCTGGCCTGGAGCTTGCAATGTAGACTAGGCTGGCCTGGATCTCATAGAGGTCCACCTGCCTCTGCCTCCTGAGTGCAGGGATTAAAGGCCTGCACCACCGCGCCCAACTCTTAGTTTGCTTTTAATTGCTGTAATAAAAACACTGACTAAAACCAACTTGGGGAGGAAAGGGTTTATTTTATCTTATATCTCCCAGGTCACAGTTCATCGCTGAGGGAAGTCAGGGCAGGAAGTGAGGGCAGGAACCAGGAGCGCAGACCATGGAGGTATGCTTCTTATTGGCTAGCTCCTCTGGCCCATGCTCAGGCTGTTTACTTTCTTTTTTTAAATATTTTATTATTTTTATTTTGTGTGTATGAGTGTATTGCCTGCATGTATGTAAGTGCATCTGGGTCTGCAATGTCCACATAAGTCAGAAGAGAACGTCGGAATCCCCTGGAACTGGAGTTATGGATGGTTGTTAGCTGCCATGTGGGTGCTGGGAACTGAATCTGGGTCCTCTGCAAGAGCAGCCACTGCTCTTAATTGCTGAGCCATCTCTCCAGCGCCTTTAGCCTGCTTTCTTATATACATAGGACTAACCACCTGCCCAGGGGTGGCACTGCCCACAGTAGTCTGGACCCTCCCACATCACTCAATAATAAAAAAAATGCCTCACACACATGCCCACAAGGCCAATCCAATAGAAGCAATTCTCCAACTCTCTTGATGGGCATTACGCATTTATGTCTATTTCATATATTCTGGATCAACTTGCCAGTTTTAGTCTTTTATCTATTTTACTTCATTTTCCTCAATATGTTGATCAAATCTCAGACTTATTAGATGGTTTGGTGGTCAAGAATGCAATGCTCAACCATGATATCACTCCTAAGAGAAAAAAAAGATGCTTTGGTATATACTTTCCAAGAATGTACTATTATAAAACCAAACTGTTTTCTTTCTGCCTAAGCTGCCCACTGGATTGCCAACCCTGTAAGCACATGTTTCAGCTTTGTCTCACCCTACTGTGTAAAGCACTAGTTGATGCTTTGCACATAGTAGGAGTACAGTTGCTATTTATTACCCAGAAATTCTTTTATAACTTTTATTGAATTTGTTCTCTGACAATTTCACACATGTATATAATTCATTCTGGTTACTCTCACCCCACCTCTTGTCTTTCTCCTCTCCCATCAACCTTCCCTCCTCCCTACATGTCTCTTACATTCATGTCTTTTTTTTTTTGTCACTCACTAGGTTTAAAGCTATTTGATGAATTTCTAACTATCCATCAAAGTGGAGGCCTTGCCTGTGGGTTCATAGCGAAGATGGGGACTGCCCCTCCCTAGAGCCTACTGGTAGCCAAAAGTTCAGATGGGTGGGGTATGGCTCCATGAACCTCTCCCTGATCCATGACTGACTGACAACAGGCCCAGTCGTGTGCAGGCCCAGCACAGGTAACTCTGTAGGATTATGATTGCAATGACTGTGTTTTGCCCAGAGGACAGCATTTTGAAGCCCTTCCTTTGATCATCTGGTTCATACATTTTTACTGCCATTTATTTTTCCATGTACCCCGAGCCTTAGAAAGGGGTGGTATAAATAGCCTGTTAAAGGCTGAGAGTTCAACAATCATTCTAAGCACCTTGTGTAGCTACGAGTCTCTGCATTCACCACAATTCTTGGTAAAGAGAAGTTTCTCTGGTTAAGGTTGAGTGCAGCATTTGTCTACAGGTGTAGACAAATATTTAGAAGACAGTTTGACACAATGCCAATTTAGCTATGTAATAAGATCTCCTCTAGGGCTTAAGATCTCAGCGCTGGGTTTTTGACTGTGTTTATAGTATGAATTCCCTCCTGTAGAGCAGGCCCCAAATCCAATCACAGAGTAGCTGGCTACTACCATAATGATCTGTGCCACTACTACACCAGTGGGCACATCTTGCCTGGCAAGTTGGTATTGTAGCTTGTAGGGTTCACAGCTGGGTATGACCATTGATGCCCCCCGCAGCCCCCACCTCCAGTAGCCTGCATAGCACCTTCTGGCACTATGAAAGCTTCTAGCTCAGTTCCAGTTTAATTTCTCTATCTTGTAACAAAGGTGTGTCTTTAGCAATAACATTAACTCAGAATTTTAAGAGGTAAAGAGGACCTAGAGAGCATCTAGTTCCAGTGATAGCTTTGTGCAAGGGACTGGAGTCACATCTTTTGAGCTCCATACCATGTCTGGTTAACTAGTTTATAGAATGGAACAATCATGCCAAATTATGTTCTAGTACCTTGAATAACTTTACAACATGGCTTTGGCGGAAACAAAAACTATTTCCTGTCTGGCTGTTTTCATCATTTCTTCCTTTCCTCCCTCCTCCTATTTTTTTCTGACTCCATGTGCCCATGCTCTCTTTGCCCATTTTTCTTCCCTCCTCTTACCCCTTCCCTCAAAAGCTTCAGGGGCCTTTTATTGTTGCAGATACTGCTGTTTTCATATACTGGAACCTGACAGTATTGTTTTGGGCAATGACTTCCTTTCTCTAGTTTCTGTCCTCTCTTCCTCACTGTTGCACATTTTAGTAGGCCGGACTTCTTAAATAAGCT